TAGACCTCACTATGTAGACCAGGCTGGCTTCTAACTCACAGAGATCTGCCTGCCTCTGCCTCCCGAGTGCTAGGATTAAAGATAATAAATAAAAGTTTAAAAAATTTTAAAGAAGCTGGATGTGGTGGCACACACCTTTTGTCCTTTAATCTCAGCACTTGAGGGGCAGAGGCAGGTGGATCTCAGTGAAACTAAGGCCAGCCTGGTCTATATAGTGAGTTCCTGGCCAGGTGGGACTATAGGGAGACTGTCTCAAAAGAAAAAAAGAAAGATCTGACAGCCAGGCATGATGACACACACCTGTAGTCCCAGCTACTTGGAAGAAGGATGTAGGAGGATTGTTTAGAACCTACAAGTTGGAGATCAGCCTGGGCAACATATATGCAAAACCTTAACAATTAATATAAATAATAATAATAATAATAAAAGCTGATAGATACCCCTTAGTAGATAGTAAAGTGCAGTTGTAAAACACAGTCCTAAACCTCTTTTTCCATATCTTTGCTATCACAATTGTCATGATGTCACTGGGTGAATACATGCTATTCATGTGCTGGACATTATTTTATAGGGTAAAACCTCCTTGTGCACAGGGAGCAAAACGCATCTGAGCTTTGTCCTGTGTTCCTTCCTAAAGATAAACTCGCAGAAGTGGAATTACTAGGTCAAAGATTGTGAGACTAGAATCAAAGCTGGTAGTTTCACGAACAGTTCTCTTTCTGTTCGAGCCTCTGTTTCTGTGTACGAATAATAACGCCAACTCAGTGTTTGGAGGAAAAATGTTTTCAGATCTGTGTTCTCTTCTTGATAGAGTCTTTGAGTGATGGGGCTGGAAGGAACTTAAGATACCATCTGACTTGGCCGCCTGACTGTGGCCCACAGAGGGACTGTGTAGTAAATTCTGTCTGAACAGGACAGAGGATGTTGGAGTTGTTTAGTGCAGTTCTCAGCTTAACACCCAGCACAAGAAAAACTTACCCAGGAACATTGTCCATCAACTGTCAGTCAACAGCATTTATTGTCAGAACATTTTCCCAGCATTGGTTCTAGTCCCAGAAAAACCAGATTCTGTGCTTCCCAGTTATCACAGGCACCGGCCCAGGGGAGGTGAGAAGAGAGGAAAAATACTGTGTTCTTTTAGAAGTGGCTCCTTCTGTGTTTGTTTGGCACCAAGAAAAAGTCACAGCGATCTGGGCGTGCCTTGTGTCTGTCCCATCTCCTTCTCCCAGCCCTGTGCAAGGATGGAAAACTGTCATCTTTCTTCCTGAACAGACTCATGTTTTCCCACCCAAGCCTCATCTCTTGGGTCAGATGATGGGATAAAATACTCAAGACTGGGCTGGAATAAAAGTCTCTGTGGGTTATAGTATAAAAAGCTTTTAGAGTGAGGTTCACTTGGATTCCAATCCCACCTCTACCATGTGATATGGCACAGGTCTTTCTGTTCACTGAGCCTTGTAAGGTCATTGATAGGAGTGACCTATCTAAGACATTACAGTTCCCATGTGTGAGGAGAGACTGCAGGTCTGAGGAGCCAGCCACCAGCTTATGGGTTTGGCTTCATTTGATACTGGTTTCTGCCAGGTTTCATATGCTCTATGGCATTTGTTAAGAGTTTGAGGCAAATGCCTGGGGTGTGGCGTTCACTGCAGAAGGCAGCCCCAACATGCACAAGCAACTCTCTAGCCTCCTCACTGCTGTTTTGGAACTGAGACCATTAGTTTCATGTGTCAGGACAGCACAGACCATGGTGACCTCTGTGTTTGGGGGTAGGGTGGGGGGAGGAGGCTGCAGGTGCCCAGGTAACCTACCCAGGTCCTTTCATCCCTCCTGGCATGTATAGACACCTGGCTTTGATTCCCATGAGGGCTGTTCACTGAGTCTTAATGTAGCCTGGTCTGGCAATTTGGCCCAGGAGCAGATGGAATCCTTAGGGGGTGGTAGTCTGAATGTGTATCTTTGTTCCCTGGGGAGCTGTGACTCTGAATTGTCTATTGAGGGATTTTGGAGTGGCTAAGGGAAAGAGAGCCATTTCCATGGGCAGGCAGGAGACCTGGATCACTTCTGGAAGATTCTCATCACATGACCTTGGGCAGGTCAAGCCTCCTCTTAGGTGTGAATTTCCACCTCTGCAAAATGAGCAGAGCACAGAGAACCCTCCAGCTTAGACATCTCATCATTCTGTTTTCCAAACCTTGACTGGAAGGTGCTCAGACATAGGCACCTTGTTGGCTGTAAGGTAGATATATAAAACAGGAACTCATCTTTACTAGTTAGAGAGACAGACTGACAGCATAAGATAGCAAATGCCAGACGTGGTAAAATCGAATCCCAGCTGCCTGTTACTGTTGATGCCTTAGGAGTTCTGGTAGAAAACAACACTGGTTTTCTAGGGGATGGCTTTGCAGGGGCCTTAGGTTGGAAATGGGGGCACAGATGGACTGGATTAGGCAGAGATGAGAAGGCATCCCAGTTGGGAACCTTGGGTGCCAAGAGGAGGTGCCCTCTGCAACTTGGAGCAACGTACCTTAGAAGCTAGCCCTAGCCAAGCTTCAGATAATTCTGTCTGTCTGCCTCTTTCTGGGCTTTCCTGAACCGTAAGACTCTGGTTTGGGTCCCCAGCAATGCCCTGAGGGAGTCCTTTCAGAACGGGTGAGGGAGAGTGGCATCCTTCACTGTTGGAAGCACCTCAGGCAGGAAATGAAGAATTTCGTAGGTGGTTAAAAATACAGTGGGAGCTGATTTATGTTTGAATTTTGTTCCAGGGCAGCAGATTATAGCCCAAGTTCCCGGGCAAAGGCAGCAGTGTCTTTATGGCCTGCTCAGATCAGTTTTATGTCTTTGTGACTTTTATATGTTTCAGCTAAGCCAAGATGCTAGCATGTTTTTTTGATCACCATACTTCACTGGGGAAAACGCAGCTGTACCACGCCTTCTGCCCAGCCTCATTTTGCCCACATAAAAGAAAACAAAATAGATGAATGTTTTTGCTTGTTACTTAGTTGGTGTCCAGTTTTTAGTCAGGTTAAATCAAATAATGAATAGATAATGAGTCAGGGAGGTTAGGAAAACAGAAGAATGGAGAATAGATCTGAGTATTGTTGAGAGTCCAAACCACTGGATCCCATAGTATCCTTTAAAAAAAATTTATTTGTTGGGGCTGGAGAAATGACTCAGCGGTTAAAAGCAGTGGCTACTCTTGCAGGGGACCTGGGTTCGATTTCGAGCACCCACATGGTGGCTAACAATTGTCTGTAACTCCAGTTCCACAGGAATACAACACTACCTTCTGACCTCTGTGGGTATTACATGACATGGATGCACTTACATACATGTAGGCAATACACTCATACACATAAAATAAATTTTTAAAAAATGTGTTCTTTTATGTGTATGAAAATTTTATTTATTCTTATTTTATGTGTATGAATATTTTA